GAGCCTCCCTCCTCTGTGGCCCTGCCCACCTCTCTCTGACCAAACCCCAAGGTGGGTCTTGAACCTTTTGCTAAGCTGAGAGGCCCTGCCCAGGTGGCCGCTCCGCACACCCTACCTGCAGGACGTGATGCTCTGGTTCCTGGGGTCCATCGGCAGAGACTCTGGGTGCTGTCTTCACGATGTTGCTCAGATCAACCCCTGGGGGTGGGGAGATGGACATCAAGGGGTTGTCACGACTGGAGTCACAGCCCGTGTCCCTTGCTGGGACCCTCCAAAACAGATCGACCACCCAGGCTGGGCCCAGCATGTGGCCTCCTAGGGGCCACTGCCCCTTGGCCCTGGGATGGCCAAGCATTGTGGCAGTGGCCATTACTGGCCAAGGCTGGCCAACAACAGCTTGGGGCTAAAGGGGTGACCCCATGGTCCTCCTTGGGGCTCCTCCTTGACTGCATCGATGTCTGTCCCCACCCAGTCCCAGGACCCTCACTGGCAGATTTTCAAGACCCAAAGCCTTCCAGTCAGCTTCTAGCACCTCCTCAGGGGCTCTGCCCCCTCCAGGCCCGGGAGGCCAGCCTCTCACCCTTGGGGCTGCAGTCCTGGCTCCCTTCCGGGGAGCTTCTGTGAGTTTGTTTAATGGGGAGCCAGATGCAAGGTCAAAAGGTACATGACTAGGTGTTCACCTCCAGTTTCGGGCTGTGGGGTCAGCCTTGATTGTCCTGTGCACATCTCGGGGCCTGGACCTGTTGCGGGGCTCTCATCCAGAGCTCCGGTTCCCTGAATGTCTCAGGTGAGCCATGGTTCCCTGCCCTAAGCCTCGGGGTCCATGCGAGGGCCTCTGTGTGTGTATGTGTGTGTGTGTCCTGATCATACCCATGGTAAACAGTCCCCTGCTTCACTCTCTTAACTCTGTTCTTGTGTGAACATCCTGTCTCCTGTGGACCAGAGACGACATACTCCTACGTCCTGGGTGCCCTGGGGCACTCAGCTGGCTGTGCCGCCTGGTAAGTGGCAGTGGAGCTTC